CATGGGGGTGAGTAGAAAATGAAGGCTAATCATGTTTTGGGTGTACTATTCCTTTAACTCGGTTATGTGTATTTTTTATTTTTTTTAGTAAAGACAAGCAATCATTTTTACTTTAAGGAATTGTATGGAATTAATTTAGTTCCATTACTGTTGCAAACAACTAACTTTGTTTTTTTATAGAAATTTGAAAAAAAGATGCAATCAAGAAATGAGAGTTTGAAAAACTTCTTAAAAGAAAAAAAATTAGGTTTTGAGAGTGACTTTGCTGTTTACTTATTATTTTTTTTTTATTTCCATGTTTCGGTTTCTCAATATTAAAATTTTTTCTAATTTTACTTTTTCCACACTTCAATTTAAAACATTTTCAAACTGAATCGTCGCTTCCTTTAAGCCCAAAATAAATCTACAGTGGCCAGTAATGCTGTTGATAATGTCCAGCAGTCTAACAGAAATGCATTTTTGCTCCTTACTTCCAGTAAAAGCCCGCCCCCAGAAGTCAAAAGGATGTGGAAAATGCATTTAAAAACAATGAAATACATAAAACTCAATCTCACAAAACTCAGAAAAGCAGAAATTTAAAAATCTAAAATGTGTAAAACAAATAAAAAGTAATGAAATATCAAGCAAAAAAGTGAAAAAACTACATAATTTGAAATTTTATTTTGTTAAATTTCATTAAATGTTTTTAAAAGTTTACTTTCTGGATTTTCTTTCTTCAAATTTCTGTTTACAAAACTTGTTATTTGCTTGCAACGATAAAGGAGCAAAACGGACTCCATACACTGGAGATGTTTGCTCTTTTCCATTAGAGGATAATAGCAGATAATCTATATAGATAGGGGCTAAAGACAAAAGCAAAGAAAGTGTGTTTATTTGAAGGGCTTATGCATTAATTTACTGAATGTTTAATGCTTATGTCTTTGTGCAGCTGAACGAAGGCGAGGACTCAGAGGAAAGGGGACGCATCCTGATATCACTGATGTTTAACAGCCAGCAGAGCCGTCTGATAGTGGGCGTGATCCGCTGTGCTCATCTGGCTGCCATGGACTCCAACGGATACTCAGATCCCTTTGTAAAAATGTATGTTCTCCTTTATCTACCTAAGTTTTGTTATTTTTAATCTTATTTTCTCAATAGTCTGATTGATCAATCCAAACAACCAGCAGATAACCTGATATGTTCAGTGTTTTTCTGCCTCTGTGTGCTGCAGATGTCTGAGGCCAGATATGGGAAAGAAAGCCAAAAACAAGACGCAGATAAAAAAGAAGACCCTCAACCCAGAGTTCAACGAGGTCAGTCGCCACTGACTGCTCTCTCTTTGGTTTCACTCACAGCTTATGTAACTCACTCTTGTTTCGTCGCCGTTTTTCAGGAGTTCAGCTATGAAATTAAGCATGGCGAGCTCGCCAAGAAAACTCTGGATGTATCAGTCTGGGACTATGACATGGGAAAATCCAACGACTTCATTGGTAAGTCCAGATCTTGGTTTGAAAACTTAATTCCTAATCAACCAGCTCTGGCATGGTCACTATGGCCATTAAAATAGGTTATTTATAAAGGACCAAGGAGTCTGAAAATTTCTGGTTTGATTTCCAAAGATCTGACAGTTATTGCTTCAGGCTGAAATACTTATTGCAAAAAAAAAAAAACAATCACTTCCCTTTGGCATGAAATAACAGCCTCACTCACTTTATCCTGATGCGTTGATTCTGGTCTTTTTGTTTTTGCTGTCCCCATGAGCTGCTCATTATTTTCAACATTTCATGTTTTCCTGAAAGTTAAGAGAAATAAGATTTAGAGTGGCTGATCTTCAAATATCCAGGCACTGATCTTAATTTATAATGATCACAATGGGTTTGGTTTTAAGGTTTTTGTGAGGACCTAAAAGCAGAAGCTGAGAGGCAGGGGTGAGATCTTTGAAGGTTTAATAAAGGATGACAGGCAGCCAAACAGTGATCCAAAAAAATACAACTTTAAAATGTTAATCAAAACAGCAATAAAAAAACAACAACATAAGAATTAAACACAAACCAGAACCATGGAGACATCAGGGGAAAACAGTCAGGAGGAGCCAGGGTAGGATAAAGTAAGACGAGGAACCAGCACTGAGGGACTGAACAGGGAGTGTATTTATGGATGACTGAACAAAGGCAGGACTAACGAGTTGATAAGGAGCAGGTGTGAGTTGATCTGACTAGGAAGCCAAGGGAAAAGGAAACACAAGGGGGCAACAGAGGACAAGCAAAGAAAAACCTAAGAAATTAAAATAAATCCAGAACACACAAATAAAGCTAGAAAACAAAGAAAAAATAGATAAACATGAAACTGTAAACTTAGAGAAAACCAACAGAACCAACATTACACAACAGGAAAATGAATGAGCAAGAGGTTTATTTTTTCCAAATCAGTCGAATAAGTGAAGACAACAAATTTTCATGAGGCCTTTGTTAATAAAGCTATTTAGACATTGGTGCTGTTTATATAAACCTATGGTTCTACATATTATATACATTAAATGGGTGGAGTAGTTCTTCCTTATCTTTAATTATGTGAAATACTCCTTGATTACTGCAGAGACAAACTGTCAAAGTCAAAAAAATGTCAAAGTAGGTTATTATGCCTGATGGTGTCACTGCTGCCCCCCTCTGGTTTACAGTAGAACTACTTTTGCATAGCTTATAAATTACATCCACATGAGAACAACAGAGGGGGGCGAAAGGGTAGCCTGGGTGCCAGTCCGAACTTAGTCCCGCCCACAAGGTTTGAGTTCGGGGAAGTTCGGTCAGACTCTGCTCCATAGTAGCGCGAGTATTAAAGCCCACTGTCAGGCGATCTAATCAAATTGTCAGGGCGGGCTTTATACGATGATGGACAGATGATCAAG